GCCTGGGATAGCACGGGATAGCCTGGGGACAGACCAGGGACAGCGCGGGGACAGCCTGGGATAGCCCGGGACAGCCCGGGGACAGACAGGGACAGCACGGGATAGCCTGGGATAGCACGGGACAGCACGGGGACAGCCTGGGGACAGACCAGGGACAGCCTGGGGACAGCCTGGGATAGCACGGGACAGCCTGGGGACAGACGGGGACAGCACGGGATAGCTTGGGATAGCACGGGACAGCGCGGGGACAGTTCCGGGACAGCCCGGGATAGCCTGGGGACAGCCTGGGACAGCACGAGACAGCCTGGAAACATCCTAGGATAGCCTGGGGACAGGTGGGGACAACCTGGGGACAGTCCGGGATAGCCCAGGGACAGGCTGGGGACAGCTTAGGGACAGCACGGGACAGTCCGGGATAGCCAGGACAGCCTGGGGACAGTCCGGGACATCCCGGGGACAGCCCCGGGGCCGCTGCTGCCGCCGCTCCCCGGCCACGGGAGCTCCGGGTCAGGGAAGCTGTCCCCGTGTCCCCGTGTCCCCGTGTCCCCGTGTCCCGCTCCTGTCCCCGTGTCCCACTCCTGTCCCCGTGTCCCCGTGTCCCGCTCCTGTCCCCGTGTCCCACTCCTGTCCCCGTGTCCCGCTCCTGTCCCCTCCCGTCCCTCTCTTGTCCCGTTCTTGTCCCTCTGCTGTCCCCCTGTCCCCTCCCGTTCCACTCCAGTCCCGCTCCTGTCACCTCCTCCAGCCCTGTCCCCCTGTCCCTCTCCTGTCCCCCTGTCCCTCTCCTGTCCCTGTCCCGTCCCTGTCCCCCCCCCATCCCTTCCCCCCCGTTTTTCCTCCTCCTCCTCTCCCTTCCTTCTCCCCTTCTCCCATTTTCCCTCCCCTTCTCCCTGCCCATCCCTCTCCAACCCCTCCCGCACTTCCACTCCCTCTCCCCCCTCCACTCCCACCCCTCTCCCTTCCCTCTCCCCTCCCTCTCCGACCCCTTTTCCCTCCCTCTCCCTTCCGTCTCCCCTCCCTCCTCCTTTCCTCCTTTCCCCTCCCTCTCCCCTCCCTCTCACCTCTTGTCCTTCCCTCTCCCTTCTTTCTCCTTCCCTCCCTCTCCCACCTTTTCCCCCTCCCTCCTCCTTCCCCTCCCTCTCACCTCTTTCCCCTCCCTCTCCCTCTCTCCCTCTCCCCTCCCACCTTTCCCGTTCCCGCTCGGAGCGAGGACCCCCCCCCAATCCCACAGGAGCAGCCCCAGCCCCCCCCGGCCACCTCCGGGGCTGGAATCCGGCAGATCAAAAAATAAAAAACTTAAAAAAAAAAAAAATCAACATAGCACTAAAAAGCCAAGCAAAAATAAAAATAAAACACAAAAAAATCTCCAAAAACGTGGAATCACTTTTGGTTCTGGTCCCGTTTTTGGGGAGCTCCGTGCAGATCCCAATTCCCAGCACGGGGAGGAACAAGGAAAACCCCAAACCTACGAAAAGCAGAGACCCCAGAAAGAACCATTTCTTCTTCTTTTCTTTTTTTTTTTTTTTTTTTTTTTTAATTATTAATTGATTTTATCCCGATGTTCTGTGGGGTGGGAATGTCGGGGTGGGATCCCACCTTTGCCTTCAGTGAGAAACCAAAGGATAAAAACCCAACCCTGGATCCCGGCACGGACACGTGGATTCCTCAGTTCAGGCTTTTCTTTTTTTTCCTTTTCTTTTCCTTTTTTCCCCCCTTTTTTCCTCCTTTTCTTTCTTTTTGTTTTCCTCCAAGGACACAAGGAGCTGTTCAATCCTCTTCTCCTGGCTGGAATTTTCTGGGCTCGGCAGTGAAATGAGACGTATTTTAAAAAAATAACAATAAAAATCACAAAGCTTGTTTAAAAAAATAATTTAAAAAAAAAAGCCGAGGCTCACCCAAAACATCGAGGGGAGCTCTGGAGCTGCCCTAAAATCCTTGGAATTTTGGGGTGAGGCTCAGGGGGACAAAAAGATGGGGGGGGGAGGGGGTAAAAATAACAAAAAAAACAAAAAAAAATCCAAAAAAAATTAAAAAAAAAAAAAGCCGAGGCTCACCCAAAACATCGAGGGGAGCTCTGGAGCTGCCCTAAAATCCTTGGAATTTTGGGGTGAGGCTGGAGGGGATGGGGGGGAAGCATCTCTAAGGCATCTGTAGCAACTCTGTGTCTTTAATATCCTCCGTGTCAATGCTGCACCTCTGTATTTTATGCACATAAATGTTCCTTTGATGCCGACAGGACAAAAAACAAAAAAGACAAAAAAAAAAAACCACACAAAAAAATAAATAAATATAAAAAAAAAAAACCTCATCATCACCTGTCAGGTACAAGCAACTCCTCCTTGTGCTGGTCCGTGTCTCGTCCGGGCCTCGTCCTCCTCTTCTCGTGCTACTCGACCCAGTCGTTATCGATATTGTTCTTCGTCAACTTGAAAATAAATAAAGGAAACTTCGCATGGAAAGTTTCGGCCGTGGTGATTTTGGGGGTTTTGGGGGGCTTGGGGGGGTTCCTGCTGCTCTTCCCGAGGGGTCCCAGGCCCCCCTGAGGGGTCCCAGAATCTTGAGGGGGCTCAAAACCTTGAAGGGTTCCAGAATCCTGGGGGGTCCCAAAATCTTGGGGGGTCCCGGAACTTTGAGGGGTCCCAAAACCTTGAGGGGGTCCCAGAATCCTGAGGGGTCCCAGAATCCTGCGGGGTCTCAGAACCTTTAGGGGTCCCAAAATCTTGGGGGGTCCCGGAACTTTGAGGGGTCCCAAAACCTTGAGGGGGTCCCAGAATCCTGAGGGGTCCCAGAATCCTGCGGGGTCTCAGAACCTTTAGGGGTCCCAAAATCTTGGGGGGGGTCTCAGATTCCTGAGGGGTTCCAGAACCTTGAGGGGTCCTGGACCCTCTTGAGGGGTTCCAGAATCTTGGGGGGGTCCCAAAATTTTGGGGGTCTCAGAATTTTGAGGGGTCCCAAAACCTTGAGGGGGTCCCAGAACCTTGAGGGGTCCCAAATCTTGGGGGGCTCTCAGAATCCTGAGGGGTCCCAGAACCTTGAGGGGTCCCAAAATCTCGGGGGGTCTCAGAACTTTGAGGGTCACAAAATCTTGGGGGGGTCCCAGAATCCTGAGGGGTCCTGGTCCCACCTAAGGGGTCCCAAAATCTTAAAGGGTGCCCAAATCCTGAAGGGTCCCAAAATCCTGAGGGGCTCAAAACCTTGAAGGGTTCCAGAATCCTGGGGGGTCCCAAAATCTTGGGGGGTCCCGGAACTTTGAGGGGTCCCAAAACCTTGAGGGGGTCCCAGAATCCTGAGGGGTCCCAGAATCCTGCGGGGTCTCAGAACCTTTAGGGGTCCCAAAATCTTGGGGGGGGGGTCTCAGATTCCTGAGGGGTTCCAGAACCTTGAGGGGTCCTGGACCCTCTTGAGGGGTTCCATAATCTTGGGGGGGTCCCAAAATTTTGGGGGTCCCAGAATTTTGAGGGGTCCCAAAACCTTGAGGGGGTCCCAGAACCTTGAGGGGTCCCAAAATCTTGAGGGGTCCCAAAATCTCGGGGGGTCTCAGAACTTTGAGGGTCACAAAATCTTGGGGGGGTCCAAGAATCCTGAGGGGTCCTGGACCCACCTAAGGTGTCCCAAAATCTTAAAGGGTGCCCAAATCCTGAAGGGTCCCAAAATCTTGAGGGGTCCCAGAATCCTGGGGAGTCCCAAAACCTTTAGGGGTCCCAAAATCTTCAGGGTCCCAGAACCTTGAGGGGTCCCGGACCCCTCCAAGGGGTCCCAGAATCTTGAGGGGTCCCAAACTTTGAGGGACCTCAGAACCTCGAGGGGTCCCAGACCCCCCTGAGAGTCCCTGGATCTTGAGGGGTCCAAAACCTTGAGGGGTCCCAGAACCCCCTGCAGTGGGGGGGGTCCCCAAAATCTTGAGGAGTCCCAGAACTTTGAGGTTCCCAGACCCCCCCGAGGGATCCCAGAATCTTGAGGGGTCCCGGACCCCCCTGGGGGTCCCAGAGCCTTGGGGGGGTGCCCGAATCCCGTTTTTTTGGGGCTGTTTCGGGTTTTTTTGGGGTTGTTTCGGATTTTTCCGGGCCCGGGCTGGGCCGGTTCCTCCGGAGCCGCCGGGTCCGGATCGCTCCGCGCCGCGGGAGGAGCCGGCCGCGGGCTGGGGATCCCCGCGGGGTGCAAAATGAGGAAAAATCCCTTTAATTCGTGTTTTCCCCACTTTTTCCCGGCTGCGGAAACATTTCCCCACCTCTCAGCATCCCCCGGGCTGGATCCTCCTTGCGAGGGGGGAAAAAGCCCCCCCAGAAGGATCCCCCCGGCTGCAGCAGCGGCTCCTTCCCCCCAAAATTGTCCTTTTTTTAACCCGTTTTGTTCTGAAATGCGGGGAAAATCCGGGGGGATTTTTCATTTCCCTCCCAAGCACCGACTCAAAGGAGTTCCCAGCCCCGAGCCCCTTCCAGCCTCGAGCAGGGCAGAGTTTTGAGGTGAAATTTCAAAACAGAAATAAAAGAAACCTCGAAATGCCGACTCAAAACCCCCTCCCCGAATTTGCTGATTTCTCGCCCTCCCCCTGCGAGTGAACCCAGAAAACCCCAAAAATCCGATTTTTTTCTCCGACTTTTTTCAGAAATCCTGCATCGTTTTCGGGGAGTAAGGAAGGGAAAGGAATTTTTTAAAGGGGATTTAAAAAGCCCAAAAAAAAAGAGGCAAAACCATTCAAACTTGATCATTTTTCCACCCTGTAACTTTGACCAAACCCTGTTCTTTTTATTGCGGCTCTGGCTCAGTTCTTGCCCGGGGGTCTTTCCCCTTCCTCAGCTCCTCGGGGGGGTTCGGATTCAGCCCCGGAGCCGCGTGCGACCCCGGGAGGGGTCGTGGGGACACCGAGGGGACACCGAGGGGACACCGAGGGGACACCGAGTCCTCACCCCCGGGGCTGCCCCGGCCCCGCGGATCCCCCCGGGGCTTCTTGAGGAGGGGGGAAAATCCGAGCCTGGGGAGGGGCGGGGGTCGCGGGGGTGGGCTCAGGGCTGCAGCCAGGAGCGGAGGTGCCCCTCGGCCAGGGCGATGCCCAGCATGATGCCAGCGCCCAGCAGGAACCCCGCGTTCTGCAGCACGAAGCGGCTCCAGGTGCCCTCGCCGGAGCCCCGCAGCGCCTCGGGGAGCTGGGGGAGAGCGGGGGGGGGCGCCGTGAGACCCCCGGGTACCCCCAGATCTCCGCGTGAGACCCCCGGAATCCGCCAGATCCCCACCGGACAATCACCGAGCTCGTGGGGCAGCTCGTGGCAGAGCACGGCCAGCGCTGTGCTGAGCCCGCTGGAGAGGCCGTGCGAGAAGGCGGCTCCTGCGGGGAGGGAGAGCGACCCCCGTCCGCTGTGTCCCTGTCCCCGGATCGCCGGGCAGCCCCTGTCCCCTTGTCACCCTGTCCCCTTGTCACCCTGTCCCGATGCACCCCTGTCCCCATGTCCCCAACATCCTTCTGTCCCTGAGGAAACCTTTCTCCTGTCCTTGTGCACCTCTCCTCCTCCATCTCCATCCCCGTCCCCGTTCCTGTCCCCGTTCCCATCCCCGTCTTCGTCCCCATTCCCGTTCCCGTTCCCTTCCCCATTACCGTTCCCCATCCCCATTACCGTTCCCATCTACAGCCCCGTCCTCGCCCCTCTGCCCTTCTCGTTCCCATGACCATTCTCGTTCCCGTTCCCGTCCCCGTTCCCGTCCCCGTTCCCATTCCCGTTCCCGTCCCCATCCCCATCCCCGTTCCCCATTCCCGTTCCCATCCCCATTCCCGTTCCCGCCCCGTTCCCGTCCCCGTCCCCACCGATGGCCAGCCCGTCCGTCAGGTTGTGGACGCCGTCCCCCAGCACCACCATCCACACGATGTCGGCGGCCCCGGGCCCGGGGGGCAGCGCGGGGCCGTGGGAGTGTCCGTGGGGGGGTCCCCGGGAGGGCTCGGGGGGTCTCAGCTCCAGCTCCGCCTCCGGCGCCGTCAGGTGCCGCAGCTCGGTCCCTGCGGCGGGACGGACACGCCGGGGCCGGTGGGTGCCGGGGCCGGTGGGTGCCGGGGCCGGGCCCGGGGGCTCCCGGGAGGGGTGCGAGAGGGTCGTACCTGCCGGTGACGGTGCGGGGGTCTCTCCATGGGGGTGTCCCTGGGGACAAGGGAGGCGTTGTGTGCGGAGCTGGCCCCGGTGGCGGCGCCGTGCCCGCCCGGTGCCCGCCGTTCGCTCGCTCTCTCGCTCTCACCGTGGCCTCCCGCCGGCTCCGCAGCATCCCCAGGAGCAGCTCCAGCACGAAGAGCAGGTAGATGCCCCCCAGCACCGCCAGCCCCTGCAGCACCGCGGGGCTCGGTTCCCCCGGAGCCTCCGGGTGCTTGCCCTGCGCCTGGACACGGGGACGCGGCGGTTCAGGGCACCGGGACACCGCGGCGTGCCCCCGGTGCCACCCCCCGGGCGGGAGGGACCTACGTGCGGCCAGAGGTGCAGCAGGGCGTCCCCGCAGAGCGTCCCCACGGCCAGGGCCACCAGGAAGGCGAGGAGCGAGCGGAAGGAGCCGCGGGCCCGCAGCGGGAGCAGCAGCACGGCCAGCGCGGACGGGAGGCTCACGGAGAGCACGGCCAGGAGCGCCCAGCCCAGCGCTGCGGGCACCGTCAGCGGCACGGCCCCACGGGGGCACCGGGAGGGGGCGTGGGGAGGTGGGGATGGGGGCGCGGGGGTGGGGAGCTCAGGGATGGGGGACCCGGGATGGGGAGGTCAGGGATGGGGAATTCAGGGATGGGGGAATGGGGACCCCAGGATAGGAATTCAGGAATGGGGACCCCGGGGATGGGGGAATGGGGACTCCAGGATAGGGAATTCAGGGATGGGGACCCCAGGATGGGGAATTCAGGGATGGGGAACTCAGGGATGGAGGAATGGGGACCCCAGGATAGGGAATTCAGGGATGGGGACCCCGGGGATGGGGAATTCAGGGATGGGGACCCCAGGGATGGGGGAATGGGGACCCCAGGGATGGGGAATTCAGGGATGGGGGACCTAGAGATGGGGGAATGGGGACCCCAGGATGGGGAGCTCAGGGATGGAGGAATGGGGACCCCAGGATAGGGAATTCAGGGATGGGGAATTCAGGGATGGGGAATTTAGGGATGGGGAATTCAGGGATTTAGGGACCCCAGGATGCAGAGCTCAGGGATGTGGAACTCAGGGATGTGGGAATTAGGACCCCAGGGATGGAGACCCCAGGGATTTAGGGACAAAGACCCCAGGAACAGGGACCCCAGGGATGTGGAAATGGGGGCCCTAAGGATGTGGGAATGGGAACCCCAGTGATGGGAACTGAGGGATGGAGACTCCAGGGATTTAGGGACAGAGACCCCAGGGATTTAGGGACGGGAACCCCAGGGATGGGAACCGAGGGATGGAGAGCCCAGGGATTTAGGGACAGAGACCCCAGGGATTTAGGGACGGGAACCCCAGGGATGGACAGCCCAGGGTCAGGAATGGGGGCCCAGGGGGGCACAGCTCAAGTAGGGGGACACAGGGATGGGGGTGGGCAATGGGGGCGCCTTGGGGATGCAGGGATGGAGACCCCCACATCATAATGGGGACAGAGGACCTGGCTCAGGACACGGGGGACCCCTGGGGATGCAGGACCCCGGGACCAGCTGGGGGACCCCAGGATGCGGCTGCAGGGACGGGGGATCCCGGGGACGAGGGACGTGGGGCCGGGGGCCAGCTCGGAGCCCCGGGTTGGGGTTACCTGGCCACAGGGTCCCCCCCGGGGGAGGCAGCGTCACCTCATCGCGGTGCCGGATGCAGACGCGGCTGTCGATCTGGTAGAGCAGCGCCGGGCACAGCAGCGTGAACTGCTCCGGTGTCAGCTGCGCCACCGGGTCCAGCCCGAAATTCACCAGCAGCTGGGTCACGTTCAGGCACTGCGGGCGGGGGGCGGCGCTGGGGGCGTGGGGGGGTCCCGGAGAACAACCGGGGAGCAACCGGGGCTCCCCCGTGCTCCCGGGAGCGCCGGACAGCGCGACCCCCCCCCGTCCCCACTCACATCGTGGTGCGGGTGGTCGCTGGAGTGCTCCAAGCCCAGCACCCTCCCCAGCAGGCTGAGGGTGGGCTGGTACTGCCGGGGGACCCCCGCAGCCCCGGGGGGCTCGGCGGGCACCGGCTCGGGCCAGCTCGGCGTCTGGGAAGGCGGGGGGCTGCGGGAAATCGGGGTGTGCTGAGCCCCCCCACCCCCCCGGCCCAGCGCGGAGCCGGGGGCAGCCCCTCGGGGAGGAGACCCGCGGGTACCTGAGGGGTCCGCCGGTGCTCGGAGCCGCATCCCCGCCGTGCTCCCACAGCGGGTGCCGGTGCCGGTGCTTGTCCTCCTGCACCTCCAGCAGGTCCAGGTGGCTGACGTGGCCGTGGCCCAGCTCCTCGTGCTGGATCTGGACCACCTGCACCCTGCCCAGCCCCAGGCTGCCCAGCAGCCGCGCCAGCCCCTCGAAGGGCAGCGTCCCGTTCTGCCCGTACTGACCGAAGAGCTGCCGCAGGTAGTAGCCGTGCTCCTGCGCCGCGTCCTCGGGGAGCAGCGCCGGGGTCCCCGCGGTCCCCGGAGCCCCCCCGACCCCCAGAAGCAGCAGCCCCAGCACGGCCAGGAGGAGCGCAGGGCGGCTCATGGGGCCGGATCCCGCGGCAGCAGCTGGGGGGGGACAGCGCGATGTTGGGGTCACCCCCAAAGCCGGGGTGGGGGGGGGTCTCTCGGGGCGGCCCCCGCTGTCACCCGTCCGTGGGGAAAGCGACAGGCGGCACCAGGGTCACCGCACGGGACACGTGTGGCGGTGGCACCGCGGCTTGGGGACACCCCCGGGGAGCGGGGTTGGGTGGGGGGGCTTTGGGGGGGGACGCGGCTGCTGCGCCCCCCCCCCCCCCCCGGGGGGGGGGGGGGGGGGGGGGGGGGGGGGGGGGGGGGGGGGAGGGAAATTGGGGAAATTTAAAGGGGATTTGGGGGAAGTTCAAAGGAAATTGGGGCAATTTGGGGGAAATTAGGGGGGATTTGGGGTAAATTCATGGGGGATTTTGGTGGGGATTTGGGGGAAATTGGGGGGTATTTAGGGGAGATTTGGGGCAAATTTTGGGAGATTTTGGGTAAATTTGTGAGGATTTGGGGGAAATTTGGGGCAAATTGGGGTAAATTCATGAGGATTTGGGGTAAAATTCAGGGATTTGGGGTAAATTTATGGGGATTTGGGTCAAATCCAGGGCAAATTTGCGGGGATTTGGGGTAAATTTGTAAATATTTGAGTCAAATTTGGGAGGATTTGGAGTAAATTTGTAAAAATTTGGGTCAAATTCAGGGGAAATTAATAGGGATTTGGGGTGAATTTGTGCGGATTTGGGGTGAATTTGGGGTAAATTAGTGGGGATTTGGGGTAAATTTGGGGTAAATTTATGGGGATTTGGGTCAAATCCAGGGCAAATTTGGGGGGATTTGGGGTAAACTTGTAAATATTTTTGTCAAATTTGGGATGATTTGGGGTAAATTTGTGAAATTTTGGGTCAAATTCAGGGGAAATTAATAGGGATTTGGGGTGAATTTGTGCGGATTTGGGGTGAATTTGGGGTAAATTAGTGGGGATTTGGGGTAAATTTGGGGTAAATTTATGGGGATTTGGGGTGAATTTGTGGTAAATTTGTGAGGATTTGGGGCAAATTTGTGGGGATTTGGGGCAAAATTCAGGGTAAATTTGGGGGGATTTGGAGCAAATTTAGGGGAATTGGAGTAAATTTGGGGTAAATTTTTGAGGATTTGGGGTGAATTGATGTGGATTTGGGGTAAATTGGTGGGGATTTGGGGTGAATTTGGGATAAATTGGTGGGGATTGGGGGTAAATTGGTGGGGATTTGGGGTGAATTTGGGGTGAATTGGTGGGGATCTGGGTAAAATTCGTGGGGATTTGGAGCAAATTTGGGGTAAATTGGTGGGAATTTGGGGTAAATTGGTGGGGATTTGGGGTGAATTTGGGATAAATTGGTGGGCATTTGGGGTAAATTTTTGGGGGTTTGGGGTAAATTCGTGGGGATTGGGGGTGTATTTGGGGTGAATTGGTGGGGATTGGG